TTTTTTTTTTTTTTTTTTTTTTTTTTTTTTTTTTTTTTTTTTTTTTTTTTTTTTTTTTTTTTTTTTTTTTTTTTTTTTTTTTTTGTGTGCGTAGTGGGTGGATTTGTGCAAATCTTATATGTTTGAGGCTAAGTGGTATCATACAGATTATAAACCAACATTAGAAGAATATCTAGACAATGCATGGATTTCAATAGGAGGACCAGTTATATTAGTTCATGCATATGTTTTCGTGACATCTCCAATGCTCCAAGACATGGAGAGCTTGGAAGCACATATTGATATAATTCGTTGTTCTTCCATAATTCTGCGACTTGCTGATGATCTTGGAACATCAACGGTATGTCACCAATAAATCTTGTTATCATCATTAAAAGTAAACATTTTTTTTTTCATTAATATAACTAAAACCTACATATGCATGTAGATAAGCATCGAGTTGATGAAATTCCATATAGATTATTCAGTTTAACATTTTGAAACATTTATTTACTAATCGACATTTTATTCAGAATGAATTAGAGAGAGGTGATGTTCCAAAATCAATACAATGTTATATGAATGATACAGGAGCTTCAGAGAATAATGCTCGTGAACATATAAAGAATTTGATTGATGAGACATGGAAAAAGTTAAATACGGCTGAGGTCAAGAATTCAATCCTTCCTCATGTGTTCATCCAGATAGCTAAAAATCTTGCTAGAATGGGTCAATGCATGTATCAATATGGAGATGGACATGGGATAGGGCGCCAAGAAATAAACGATGGTGTAATGTCTCTACTTATTCAACCAATTTCCATGCAACCCATTTGATGATGTATCAAAGGAAGTTGATACAGTTTTTTGGGAAAACACATTTCTTTCTTTTAATGTACAACTGGTTCTCCCTTAATTTTTCAAAGATTAGGTATAAGTGTATTTTGTGTTCCTCCATGGTGGCGTTGCATACAACGATATCATCAAGATACACCACAACAAACTTGTATAAGTATTTATTAAAAACCTGGTTCATCTAGATACATAATGTAGCTTGTAACACCCCTAATTTTCATACGTAGATTCGAGACATCGTTACATACATGCCTTTAATAACATATGCGGAAAATTTAATGAAAATTTTGAAACAAAAACATGAACTTATATGTTTAATTTAAAACTAGAAATAAAAATAACAATGTAAAAGACAAAGCCTTAACATAATTTTCGGTTCAAAACAATGCATACTTTTGTTCTATCTTAACTTCCATGGTCATTTCAACATTCATCGTTATCTGTGTAAGAGTGTTTTACCTTTATCTAAAAAATAAGGGTAGCATGTGACTTTCTTTTGAGCAACATAGCATGACCTTGAGCTCTTTCTAGTCCAAGTTAGGTTGGATGTGTGATACTTCTCTACATAAGGCCCACACACGTGCACATAGACCCACGAGGCAGACTCGTATATGTACCCATGGGCCTAGCTTCGTTGGACTAAACACACTGATGCGTTGTCGGATACCATAGAGGGAAAGACCCGCATGATATCAGGATGAACATAAATATCGAAGATTATGTATCCATACTAACATAACATAACAGGGAAGTATCCTGATGCACATGGCATACATAGGCTTCCATGGTTTAAAATCATAGCGTATAATAAGAATCATTTTATTCTTCCTTCCATTCATGTCATAGTACATATATGAGACATGTATTCATAGTGCTCATCATGACTTTCATATTGCATCATCATAGTATAGCATGATCTATAATATGACTTCACTTGGCATGACATAGCATAGCATAAAAAATATTTTACATCATCCATATCATGATATAATAGGACAACGCATACATACCTAACATGACATCATAGGTCATCACATAACATAGATAAACACATAGCATTTTGATGCATGTAGGGGCCACAGGGCATGTGTCATCGTACATCATACAATTCTTTCGAACAACCAACAATAAAGCTACTTACTTGTTTGGTCTTGTCTGAAGTCCCCAACTATTTTATAGGTGACTCCAATAATGTCCTTCAAAGCTCGATTTAACCTAATTACTACTTATTATTAAACTTCATTTAGCTAAACATATTATATCACTCCCCATTTTTACCTCAAAAATATTTATTTTGAGTAAATAGGAGTCTCTCTCACCTCAAAAGCTCTCAAAAAGCTATAAGGTCAATAGCTTTAGAATGGTGAAAAAGGTAGAAAACAGTATAAAAATGTATACTGCATCATCTAAGCTCTAGCTGCTGAGCAACCAGGCAGAAGTGCGAGCCGAGAGTACAGGACTGAGCCAGCAATTGAGTCGTGGCTGGAGATCAACTTTCACAAGCTCTACACGTGCGCAAAAGTGGAGTTGATAAACTTGGGTTAGCACACGGGTTTCGAGTTGATGAATGGACTCCGAATTTGGGGGTCGCGCGGGTTGCAGCGCACGTGATTTCTTTGGGTCGTGGGTGGTGTGGGGCGAGGCGTTCCTGGGCTGCTGGATCCTACACCGGCATGGGGCCACCCGACCTAAATATCCATCCTGTAGACTCGTCTTCTCAACCCGACTCTCTAAAACTGCAACCTGATCTCCCTCTCTTCTCATATCTGAACTCCAGTGACTCTTTGTGCTCAATTTCGGCCGTCACTAGTTCACCAAACACTTGCACTTTAACCCTGAACACTCCTAAACCCTACTGAAATCTTGGTTTGAAGCGCATCGATGAATCAGATTTGCCAATATGTGCTTGTCTTTCTCTCTCTCAGAAGTCTCTTAGAAGTGTGTTGTGAGCTATAGATTGGAAGCAAGAACGAGTTGGGTGATTGAAGGTGTGATGGTGGAGTGCTTATCGAGGAGGCATGGGTGGTTGAAATTGCACTAAAATCATTGTTTTACCGAGATTCATTATTTTTCAGCTGCTATTACATTATACCCCTCTAATCAGAAATTTTTTTCTTGAAAGTATTAAATTCTCAGAACTACTATAGGTATTTCTCGTTCAATTCATCATCTCCTTCCCACATTGCTTTTTATATCTGATGATTTCTCCGCAACACTTTGACAAAAAGGTGATGTCCCTCGTATGTAGAGCTTTTACATCACGAGCCAAGATCTTCACTAGTGTTTCTTCATATCTCAAGTCTTCGACCAACTCTAGTGTAACGACCCTAAATTTCTCTACTTAACCTAAGGTTACTACTATACATTTATTCTTGAATATTTAATGCGGAACTAATTTTATTGGGCCTTCCCATCACTAAACTTTAATTTCATACCTCATTTATTGCCTCAAGATAAACAAATACAAAAGAAAATAATAAATGAAACAATACAAAAATAAAATGTTCTATACTAACCTATATACTGTTGAGGGGAATACAAATTCAACCTATACTAACCTATAGTACAAATGGAAATGAAAGTTTGATTAAACGAACTTGTACTATTAAATTGAAAAATACAACTCAACCTACACTAACCTATACTACTAAAGAAAATGCAAATTTATCCTATGCATGTGTTGCGGTCTCGGGGTTGCGATCCTCTGTCAGCCTTACAGAGGGCGTCTTTCCTTTATTTGAAAATTTAGTAGCACGAGACTTGAGTATTTTAAAAATACTTAGTATGCAACCCCTTATCAGGGTTATAATGCAAGAACATGTGAATGCAATGACAGGATCTATTATAACAGTCTATTTTCCTATAGTACTATCCTAACGGGCAACTTGGATGTGTAATTCATTTGATATACTATGGTACGGAGGACGGCGGCATCGCGAGCAGAGACTATGGCACATGCATAGTGTAGACTCATATTTAAATTCATAGTCTTAAGTTAGAATAGGTTGTTTTGCATTTCATTGTTTAAACTATTTTGTATTTGTTTTTATTTTCTCTAAATGTTAGTATTTCGTATTTAAACACGTAAGACCGTGTGTTTTCCAGAAAAGAAGTTGTTTTAAACATTTTTTTTTATGTTTACATTATAAATGAGGTTCATATAAGAGTTATATTTCCTCATTATAGATGAGCATGAGACGTTAGTAATGACTCTGAATATGTAGAAATTTAGGGTCGTTACATGCTATCAATTTATTCATATCATAACGTTTCTCATATCAGTCATAATATCATTCATGCATCTTCAGGGATTATAATTCATGTTTTTTTTATCGTTTTTCATGTCATCAATATCATGTAATTCATGAAATTCACACGACATAATGTAACATTTTTCATGCTTCCAGACATAACAGTTCATAGCATGCATATCATACCGTACGTATCATAACAGTCACACAATGCAATCCGAGCATAACATAATACATAACATCAGAAATCATAACAATTCATCCAAAAACAGTCTAACGTTCATATCGCATAACATTTACATATTAATCCATAATGGACTCAACATACATCAAAAAAAGAACTTTTAATTAATCAAAGGTCCAACTGATCCTCCATCTGTATTGTAAATATGCGGTTACAAATAATCCAGCCAAAGTAATAGGAATTAGATCTAATACGATTCCAAATAGAAAAACTTCAATCATTTCAATTTAGTTGAACGAGGAAAAGGAGAGGTAATATCTATCCTTAAAATATTAATCGGTATTGCCCATGAATCTCAATGACCAGGAATTGGAAATTGAATTGACAAGGGAAAGAACTCTACAATATGTAGAATATATGGAATACCACAGAAACGTTTCTTTTTTTTTAATTGTACATTCAATTAATTTCAATCAAATAAGTCGTATCTTGTTCATACCGATAAATAGAGCTGAGGTTAGAGTTAAAACAACTAGTAGAATACCGAAATAACTAGTGAGAGTAGGCATGACGAGGCTAAATGAAATACGTTATTTTTATCCATATACAATTTATGACACGTGCGAATCGACGATCACGTGCCAACATACAACATATATTTTATAACCTAATGATGGTAGGGCTACTTAATTAGTTTGTGTGAGCCAGCCTACTCCCTAATTAAATTAACTTAAGCTCCCACTCCACAAAAGCATCTCACATTATCACCGGTCGTCGGTTTCTATTGGATCATTCATCGCTTTTGTTAGTATTTCACAATAATAATCATAAATTCAACTAGAAATTGTGAAAAACGGCATTAAAATGATCTTATTTACCTTAATCAAGGCCAAAAATAGGTCCGGGAGGATCGAAACAGTATAAAATTGTCCAAAAATAGATTCCCAGGCCGAGAAGCCGCACCGGAGACGAGAAGTCGTGTCGGAGCCGAAGCTGAGCCATTTAAGCCTACTGAGCCGAAGGGATTTTGCGTCGGACTGTGACATGTGGTGCAACAGAAAGTTGTCGCATGTGTAGGCCTAGTTCGAGTCGAGGCTTATTTTAGAGTCTTCGAATCTCAAACCGTGACTCAAAGACGAAGACCAAAAGGTTTTGAAACTATGACCTAGTCTAGGTGTCACAGCACACCCACCCAATTCTGTTTGAAAATGAAACCAAGGTCATGGAATAATGTTTAATAATAGGTCCCAAACACGATTGGATGTGATTGCATTTTCTTACTCCGGTAATGAGATCACTTATTAAGTATTTCTTACAATACTTAAATCACGTGCTATTTCTACTTTTCAGGCAAATGCAGTGTACCTCTGCATCGATGAAAATTTTGTGATGATGACTATGAGACTGGAATTAGGGTAGAAGCATTCATGTTATTTGTAGGCCATAAGTTAGATAAGACAATTGTTTCAATTTCTCTTTATTATGTACATTTCAAGTGGTTTGTTTTTCTGCTATAATTGTTTTAACTATGAACACATAAGTTTATGACATTGTTTTGAGA